GTCCAAAAGGGGCAGAGGCAGCAAGGAGCTGGTGCGTCAGTGCTGTCCTGAGTGCGAGCACACGTGGAAGAGTTGTGACAGAGCCTGGGCTTGACTTTAACTTTGCTCTGAAATCAGAGAGGACGCCAGGAGTGGGGGGAGGCCAGGCAGTGGGAGCAGGTACTTCCAAGCCTGCAGGGTCAGAGGAGCCTCCCAGGCCCTAGTGTTGATGGGAATGCCTGGGTCCGCAGCCAAGTTTGGACGGCTGCAGCTGTGCCCTGGAGGGCGGGGCTCCCACCCCTTTAACTCAGGAACGGGTGTGGCTCCCACCTGTTACCCTCTCCCACTGGCTCCCTGGCGTGCACAGCCCCGGCCACGCCTTCCCTGCTGAAGTCAGTGTCTTTGAAGCAGCTGCTCCAGATGGGCTGCTGCTGCCATAAATTCCTCCTGCGAAAGGGACATCTAACTGCCATTAGGGGTGAAGATCGCTCTTAACTGCTTCATGCTGACAGGGGCATTGTTTTGGAGAAAACAACAGTTAGATCTTTCTCAGAGGCCTCTCTGAGGTTCAAGTTGTATGACCACTTGGAGTTTGATGGTCTCTAGATGAGAAGAAACAAATTTGACCAGAAGGTTAAGTATGTGAAGGAAAAAATCTAGTGCCAATGATAACAGAAATAAAAAGTAAAATAGACTAATTCTTAAAACAATGTTGTGGCTAGAGCTGTCTCATCCTGGTGAAAGAAATTGAATATTGTATGAGGGTGGGTAAACTTTAAAAGAGAAATAACTGTTAAGGGGAATAAGTAATCCCCTGGGAGCTCAGAATAGAGGAGTCCTTGACAAAGACACCTTATGATGAGGAATAGAACAAAGATGAGAATGGTAAGCTAGAGGTCTTCCCAACTATAACTAAGGGGTTGGGGAAAATACTGGATTAAAATTTTTCTTGAGATGCCCTCCATGGTCCTGCTAAGAGAGGAGTTGGGGGGTCAGATTGGAGAGGAAAACTGAAAGTCTGCTATGGTGTCCAGGAGGAGGTCCACCTTCCTCCCTTGAAATCTGAACCATCAGAGGTGGGAGAGGAGCCCTGGAACCCACCAGTTCTCCTGGACTCAGTGACCTGTGTCTCCAGAGACAGTCTGCCTTCCAAAGGTGCTGTGATGGTTAATAGTAAGTGTCAACTTGATTGGATTGGATGATGCAAAATATTGTTTCTGGGTGTGTCTGTGAGGCAGTAGCCAAAGGAGATTGTATTAGTCCGTTTCCATGCTGCTAATAAAGATATAGCCAAGACTGGGTAATTTATAAAGGAAAGAGATTTAATGGACTCAGAGTTCCACATGGCTGGGGAGGCCTCAAAATCATGGCAGAAGATGAAGGAAGAGCAAAGGAGCATCTTACATAGTGACAGACAAGACAGCTTGTGCAGGAGAGCTCCCATACATATAACTATTAGATCTTGTGACACTCACTCACTACTACAAGAACAGTATGGGGGAAACCACCTTCCTAATTCAATTATCTTCACCTGGCCCAGCCCTTGACACATGGGAATTGTTACAATTCAAGGTGAGATTTGGGTGGGGACAGAGCCAAAGCGTATCAGAGATTAACATCTGAGTCTGTGGACTGGGAGAGGCACGCCTACCCTCAATCTGGGTTGACACCATCTAGTCAGCTGCAAGCACAGCTAGAATAAAGCAGGCAGGAAAAAAGGTAGAAGTACTTGACTTGTTGAGTCTTCAGCCTTCATCTTTCTCCTGTGCTGGATGTTTCCTGCCCTCAAATATCAGACTTCAAATTCTTCAGCTTTTGGACTTGTGCACTTACACCATTGATTTGCCAGGGGATCTCAGGCCTTTGACTAAAGACTGAAAACTGCACTGTCAGCTTCCTTGTTTTTGAGATTTTGGGACTTGGACTGGCTTCCTTGTTCCTCAACTTGCAGACTGCCTAGTGTGGCACTTCACCTTGTGACTGTGTGAGTCAGTACTCCTTAATAAACTACGACTTAATGAAATAAAATACTACTTAATAAACTAAATGTCCCTCTAGAGAACCCTAATATAGGTCCTCATTGCAAATTGGACAGGGTCGAGGTGGCTTCCTCCTGCTGTGCAGACAGTTCTTCCTAAACTTCCCTGGCTTGCCCTATTTGGGGACTCTGGGGTCTTTGAGCCTGTAAGGCAGCTATTAAAACCTCTTTCCTTTTCTTGTGCCTTCTTTCTCTCTCTTGTGCTTTCTTTCTCTCTCTCAATCCCTATTGTAAAAGACTGAAGTGGCCACTTTCAGGAGGTTCTCTAAAGCACTATCTGGATCTATAGCTTGTATTTGCAGCTACCTCCTGATATCAAGGGGTGCCTGATTAATAAACGTATCTTTCAGGATGAGTTGTCCCTTCACTGAATCAAGAGAAAGAGAAGTGTGCTTTACCAAGACCCCTCTTAGCCTTTCCAGGAAGCCAGTGTGATTCTCATCTAATCCCTGGTCTATCATGGATAGCTTGGAGTAACTAAGAGACGTAGTCCTAGTCCTTCATAAGCCCTCCACTACACACACCAGAAAGTACTTCCTTTTCCCTTCTCCCATCACTGGGGTCCTATTTAAGGCCTTCCAATGGTACTGCTATTCTTTCAATTGGATAACACTCATCTCCTTTGATGACACTATATGAGGTGCAAAGCTCATCCCTGAAATTGCTACTTGCAGGGTGGCCTGCTTTTCAGCAGTAGTCAGAGTCTGATTCAAAAGTAATGTCCCTCCAGGAAAGTTCAAATGCTTGGGTTAAATTCTGGAAAGTCTCCATATACCCATCAGGGTTGTCTGACAACTCGCCAAGATCCGCCTTAATTAAAACTGAAAATTAAACAGCAAACTACTAAGTAACCAAATGATCAAAACTAAATTACGAGAAAAAATGGCATCACCTTCTTTCTTCCAACTTTATCTCTTTAATTCCTGGTGACCTTTGCAGGTGCTGACCATGGATGCATGTGCAACCTTCACCCATGAAGTGGGGAGGGATAGCTGGCAGGAATATTTGCATTAACCTACACAGAGCCTAAGCCTCCCGCTGTTGGCAACCTTTGAGTTCCCTAGACCTTATCTATGCCATGGATGTGAGTATGACTTTCATCCACAAAGCAGGAGGGTTTGATAACCAGGGATTAGTCATGCTCATATGTGCTGTACTCCTAGACTTTTGCTGTTATCTGCCTCTGCTTGCCTCAGGTCTAGTTTTCGCTTCAGGACTTCAGACCATAGCCTGGGACAACAGGCTGCCTCAGGAGGATGTATAGACTCATAAAATTAAGTGTCAGGTGGTCCTCTCCAAATTGCAGCCAGCAACCAGTGGGACAGCCCATCCATTGCTTCCCTATCATAAGCAGGTGAAACTGTGTTACCAGGTTCTCTTCAAACAAGGGAGAGAAAGGAAGTCCCGGGAACTGGGAACCCAACTTAACAAGTTGCCTCTCAAGAGGTAAAAAAATCAATAGAAAAGCTCCCTGTATTCACAGGATCTTATGACTCTTGACATGGTAGAGGAAAGAGAAAAAGTAACTTAAGTGCAAGGAAGGGGAAGGTGTCTGAGGGAAAAAACTTCTTGCCCTATGCAAATGGATTCCTTCAACAGAGGAAAGAAAATTCCTAATCACTACATCCTCCTTGCTTTTAAGAATATACAGGCATCACATTTTTCTGATTGACCAACCGGAAAGGTCATTCTACTCAGTAACATTATCTCTGTGGTTTGCAACAACATCTCTAACATTGTATATAAAGAAGGGATAGGAACCATGGCAGCAGCCAAAAAAAAGCAAGCAAGCAAGCAAGCAAGGAAGGAAGGAAGGAAGGAAGGAAGGAAGGAAGGAAGGAAGGAAGGAAGGAAGGAAGGAAGGAAAGAAAGAAAGAAGGAAGGAAGGAATGGACGGAAGGAAGGAAGGAATGGACGGAAGGAAGGCAGGCAGGCTGGAACGAAGGCTGGAGGTCCTAGTGCCCACACCCTAATGAGTGGTCAGAAACTAGAGTTAGTTCAGGGACCTTTGGATAACACCAAGGTGGAGCCTCAGACAGATACCCTCAGTTGCTCCAAGACCTCCTTACAATCTCATGCAATGACAGACCTCTTTGAAGGGAAACTGGATTGGAACAAAACTAACTTTTCTAACACATGAGGGTGATGGAGGATTGACAGTGTCCTCCCCAGCAAGGCAGTCTTTTGTGTGTCTTAAGTCCAGCGGCCAGGATAGTTGCTTTTAACTAGCTGACAGAGACCTAGTATTTTTCTTTTATTTTGGCTGTTGTGGAGTTCAGGAACTGTGAGAAAAAACAAAACAAAACAGAAATCATCAGTAAGTCCACATTTATTCACCCTTCTGCAGATCCCAGACGAGCCCCCCCAAATGTCACAGGATCCTTAGAGTGTCACTTCACTAATTAGAAACCTCTAATCAGTGGTGCATTTGCCTGAGTTTTGCTTGGGTCCTCTGGGCTCATTTCACCCATGTGGGTTGGCTGGCTGTACTCAGCTTTCTCTTCTGGTCTGGATTGCATGTCTTCCAAGGATGAGGCAGGTATGAAGTGTCAGGGATGCATGAGTGTGTGGGTGCAGGGTCCAGTCACTGGCCACAGCCAGGCACACTGGCTGCAGTGCGGTGGGCAGTTCCAGGGATCAGGAGCCAGGTGCCAGATCCCTGTAGCAGCTGGACCAGAAGTACCACAAACAACTTCCACCACAGTCACTGGGAAATGAGGTGGCACCCATAGCTTGGAGACACCAGGAACTGTAGAGCTCCAAAGAGAGTGTCAAAGACCTGGCTCTGGGAGATCCTACATCTGGGCTCCCTGAAAGGCCACAGTTCTCTCCCTCTCAGTTCCCATCACCTTCAATGTGGACAGCCAGGGAGACATGTTTCAGCCCTGTTTGTGTTACAGCTCTTTCAGTACCACTTATCATTGGGTCTTGAGTTCTTGTCCCACATCCAGGAAGAATGAGGTATGCAGATGACTAGAGGGTGAGCAGGTGAAGAAATGCTTTATTGAACAACAGTACAGTTCTCAGAAGACCCAAAGTATGTAGCTCCTTTATGTATGCAGGTCACCCTGACTAGTGCAGCTCTCAGCAGAGCGGAGACCCAAAGCGGGTAGTTCCTCTCTGCAGGCAGGTCATCCCATTGTCTCTCTGAGTCTGGCTGAATCTGAGGCTCTTATGGGCTTCAGAGGAGAGGAATTGTATGCTGATTTGTCCCTAGGCAGCAATGGGTGGGCCTGAAAAAAAGCATCATGAGTTCTCAATCTGGTGAGCAGAACTGGCAGTCTGATTCCCAGGCTTCAGGCTGTTCCTGGCTTAAATGTGAGGCTTCACAGTGGACCTACCCCTTTCTGCCCAGGAGTCTGTCTGCCTCCTGCTGCCATCAACCTGCCATCCATTACACCCACGGTGTCCAGACTGTTTGTGCCTAGGGGCACCTGCAGGCACACACTCAGCTGCCCTCAGTCATCCCTTTGCTTCCCTCCCTTGCTCATTGGTGCCCAAAGTCTGGAAGGGGCCAAGGTGGCAGGGGACTGGCATGTCAGTGCTGCCCCAAGAGCATGCAAACCCAGCTAGGTCACAACAGTGCCTGGGCTCAGCCTCAACTTTGTACCAAAATTGGAGCATACATTGGGAGCATGAGCTGCACCCAGGATGGAGGCACCCCCAACTCCTTTAACTCAGAAGTGGGCATTGCTCCCACATATTCCTAGCTTCCATTGACTCTGTGGAATGTGCAGTCCTGGTCATGCCTCTCCCACTGAAGCCAGCATCTTTGCAGCAGCCACTCCAGATGGTCTTCTATTACTATGAGATTAACACAGTTTAGTGTGCATTTCTGTTTTAGTTTGATACTGTGGTTCTAAGTTTTATTATAGAAAGAGTAATAAGAAGGTTTATATTATGGTTTGAATGTTTGTGTATCTTCTAAAATTCATGTTGACATTTAATTCCCAATGCAATGGTATTAAGAGGTGGGGCATTTAGGAGGTGATTACGTCATGAGGACTCCACCCTCATAAATGGATTAATGCCTTATATGAAGTCTCAAGGGGATGTATTTGCCACTTCTTTTCTTTCTACCATGTGAGGACATAGTGTCAGTCCCCTTTGAAGGATGCATTTTTAAAGGTCCTATCCTGGAAACAGAGAGAGCAGCAGCCCTCACTAGACACTGAACCTGCTGGTGACTTGACCTTGGACTTCCCAGTCTCCACAACTTTGAAAAATAAGTTCCTGTTATTTATAAATTACTTAGTCTCAAATATTTTATTATTGCAGTACAATTAATTAAGATAGAATGCAATAACTTTATGAGTCCTGAGGCAATAGGAAGAAGGCAATGGCAACAAAACATAACCATGAAAGCATTAAGGCTTTAATTGTTTACTGCAGTGGTATGAGAATGAATCTGAACCAGAAAAGCACCAACTCCCCCTGTTACATTTCCCTCCATAGAGAGTCAGAGTCACTTTAATCAGCATGGATGGGGGTGGGGGGTTATTTCACTATAGAGGGAATTCAGAACACAGGCTGTGGCAGTTTTATGATGCTATGCTTGGAGAAATGATGGTGAAGGGTTAGGATTAGAAAAGCACTGAGTACTGAGTCAGTAAAGAAATGCATGTTCGGCTGGGCATGGTGGCTCCCGCCTGTAATCCCAGCACTTTGGGAAGCCGAGACAGGTGGATCACCTGAGGTCAGGAGTTCGAGACCAGCCTGACCAACGTGTAAAACCCCATATCTACTAAAAATACAAAAATTAGCCACATGATGTGGCGCACACCTGTAATCCCAGCTACTGGGGGGGCTGAGGCAGAATTGCTTGAACCCAGGAGACAGAGTTAGCAGGGAGCTGAGATCATGCCACTGCACTCCAGCCTGGGTGACAGAGCGAGACTGTCTCGAAAAAAAAAAAAAAGAAAGAAATATGTGTATGTGTGTTCAAGGTTTCCCCCCATCTTCTCTGTCCCCACTTCACCCTCCATAAGGAGGTCTTAGCAGAGGCACCTGAAGAGGACCATACAAAGGGCCTCATATGAAGAGACCTAGAAATGGAGACACCTGGGCTGAGAATGTCGATGCTTACAAGGGCATAGCTTAGCAGGGGGCCTGAGTTTTATATTGCAACTCCCTCTGGAGACTGCAATGTAGTGGCTGTGCATCCATTTGAGGAGGTAGGTTTTTCTCCTGAGGCTTGGCAGGTAAGGCCTTTGTGACTGCTTATGGTTAGGCCTGGAAAATCACAGTTTCTTAACTGGGAGCTAGGACTGCTCAAGAGTAGACATGACAAAAAGAGCAGCAAATACATGTCCTTGGTTCAAGAAACTATTAGGTAAAGAAACTATAACACCTCTTAACAGTATTTTGCATGGCACCCATCTGGATGAGAGAGAATTAAAATACATCAGTCACCTTATAAATCTTTTCTCATTTAAATCTTGCAGAAGTCAGTGAGATTAATGTGATTAGACACACTTTATACAAAAATAGGTTCTGAGAAATTTTTAAAAATTCATGAATTTCACAGTGCTTTCTACTGGACAAAGAAAAAGTAGAAGATTTATTCTATGTAATTGTTACTAAATATTCAAAAGACTCAGTGTGTTACCTGACTTCCATTTCCCTTAATTTGTTTTTAATACATGTAAATCACATTTATGAAACTAATTTTAAAAACTAGATTGAGTTTCAAATTTTCATGCAATCACATTTATCACTTTTTGTGCAAATGTTCTATTTTTTCGTGAATTGTCAAAGAAATTACTTCCAACTACAAACAGATAAATTAGTTGTATTGTTTAATTTTTTACTTTTACATTATATTTTAAATGCTCTTAAAGATTTGTTTTCAAAAATATGGTTATAATAAAGTTTAAATTAATAAATGTTATGCAGTAGTTATCTACTATCCCAACAGTAGTAATATTATCCAAATATGATTTAATGTACAGTTCATTTCTTACTTTATGCTGGCTGTGAGATTATTTTAGCCTACTAAAATCTATTTTGTAATATTTACTATATCATATATTAAGTTTCTACTTGTGCATGGGTCTATTTCTAATCATTTTATAATTAAATATCAAGATAAGGAATGAATACATGTATGCAAAATTACTGATAGAAATTGTTTCCAAGTTTTCAAAAAAAGAATGTAATAGCTTAAGAAGTGTAAGTAAAATGGATGTAAGTTTTATATGTAAAGATTGCTTTGCTAATATTTGAGAGAAAATATAGACAATTTATGAGTAGATACAGAACGGTAGTTTCACAGTTATTTGAAACATTATTCTCCGGACTTTTCTGTTGCTTTTTTTTTTTTTCAATATAAAAGACTTTTTAATAAAAGCTTAGTATTCACTTTCCCTTAGTGTCATAATGGGAAAGTTATTTGACTATTTACTAATAAAGAGGTTTTAGACAAAAAGAATTGCATTACTGGATTGAATTGAAGAGTGATTTGTATTAAATACAACCCTAGAAATGTCTTTCAACTGCCAGTAACTGCTTCTGTTAACTTATGTTCCCAGCTTCATTTTATTATTGGGAATGACCTTAATAAGTAGGCAGGACTCAGAAACCGTCTATAAGGTACTCTTTTATGGGCACCAGGAAGGCCAACTACCCAAAATTTATACCCTGCAAGCTGTTATGGTCTCTGAACTCAATTATTAAAGATTTATTTCTTTGTTTCTCAAACCCTTTTCAGTCTTCTGAAGCACTGTCAGAATTCAAATAGTCCTCAGATTGTGGAGTCTGAAACCATAGCATTTACTAAAAAACAAAAACAAATACAAAAACACAAGTGGATTCAATCCACATCCACACCGCTTATTTTCGTTATAAGAACTGAATGTAAATAAGATAACTAATTAGTGATCAAGTCTGAATTCAAACCCAGGATTCATGACTCTCAATCTAAAGCTCTTGTTTTATAATGAATCTATTTCTACTAGATAAATATAAAATAAAGACCAATTTGTTTTAAATGCATATTCCTTTCTGCCATGTGCTCTTTTAATAGTAAGGAAAACTCTCTCCCAAACATCAATTTGACTTCTCCACTATCTTCTCTTTACTCATAAAATACACATACACATGCACGCGCACACACACACACACACAAAACAGCAATAAAATAACCCTTTATCTGTGTGAATTAAAATATTAAATTACATAAACCAATGGAGCAATCATTTGCTATATATTATTTATCATTCACTTGCTAAACGACAGCAAATACATTTATTCTTAACATTTGGTTCACCATTTCAGTTCCTCCACTATTCAGTCCTAATTTTCTATATTTACACTTATTTCATAATTTTATATAGTAAAAATAAATGATAGTTTATGAAACAAAAATTCTTATATATGCTTAGTTGCCTATAAGTAAACTTCAAAGTAAAATAAAATTCTTTCAATTTCCAGAGCCGTTTCTCTTTTCTTCCCTTAGGCTGGCTGTAAGATTATTTCAGCCTCTGAGTATGGCTGTCTACCATAATTCATGATGATACACTTCTCCCCACTCTCATTCAAAGAAGTGTGCCCCATGTCTATCGCTTACATAATATTGACCACTGATATTTAATCTTTCTTCTATATTAATTATATAAATATTGTCAACTATATGCTATTAAATAAAAATATATTTTAGAATCTGGTATTTAAGAATTTTTACAGCTTTTTTTCCTACCACTAACTTAAATATCCTGTGTGATGGCTGACACAGTAAGCCTTTATTTATAATGGCAGATTGATGCCTTCAATTACATTCCTCATGCTACTCACTCTAAAGGTGACAAAGAGGTTGTATCTTTCAGGCCAAATTCATTTAAATAAAGATCTGGTTCAAGGCTATGGGCTCTGAGGCAACAAGCTGGACACTAGAGAAACAAGTGATGGCACAAAGGTTGTGTTATTGCTGAAGCGGATTTGAATCCTGCTCCATGCCTTCCTTTTTACTTGTTCCATCAGTTCCATCTGCTGATTCAGTTCTCTCCTCCATGATGTACTTTGTGTTTACCACTAATTCAAAATGTATCACAGTGTATCATAATTTATGGCTTATCTATTCTATTAAAAACTTAATCCATTAAGTTAAGAGTTTTATTGATTCATATATATTCAGTGCCCAGGAAGATGCTTAGGATATAGCATAGGCCCAATATATGTACTGAATGAAATAATTTAAAAAATGAAATTATATTGTTAATTTTTGTATAATGAAAAATAATTAAATTGAATAAAAGACCTAAGTGAAAAACACTTCTAAGGATTAGCAAATGTGAGCATGTCAAATAATTGTTAGGACATGAAGGTATATGTGGAAATGGCAGAATTATCTATTAAAAATATAAGTCGAATAAAAATTTAAAAGCTCTTTCATTGCCTTTTTAAAAATAGAAATGTTTAGGCGAAATTCTATGCCAAAAATCAATAGTAATAAAGGTAGGTAGATGGCCAAATTAGCATATAAATAGTTAACATTTATATATGTGTATATGTATATGTGTGTGTATATATATGTGTGTATCTCAGGTGTAAAAAGGAAAATAAGGTTTAGTAGATGACCACAGTTTGCAGTTTTTAGTGACTTCTTCACACTCAGTGAATTTAATAATACAATTGAATGTGTCGCGTTATTTATGATCCTAGAAAAAAAACATAATGGCCTTAAAAAGTTAACAGTGTGAAAAAGTAGTACCAATTACACACATAATATATACAGAGAATCTGTTTCTTGAAAGTGAGTTTTTTAAATTAAAGTCAAGAATATGAATTAAAAATATAAATAAATCCAAAATATAATAAATAGGCTTTTCAAGGACATAATTCTATATGTTTAAATATGATTTTTAAACTTTTTATTCATGTGCCTGTGCTTCATGTTTTTTTTTGCTCACTCAGCTTTCTAGTTTGATCGTTGTTAATATTTTGATAAGAAACAGTGAACTGCGGATAATCTTCCTTAAAAGTAAATATGATTCTACTTCTGCTCCAATAAGAATGCTCAAGAATGAATAAGCATATCTAAATCCTTTAGGGGAACTCATTCAATGTGAAATTGAATAGATGTTCTGATAACCAACAAAACATATCCTCTCGGAAACTAAATTCACTGTATACAAACTTGAACCTCTTCTCCAAATCTTCATCTCCGTCAATGGCAACAGCATTTATCTGACATCATATAGACACTGTTCTGGAGAGGTTTTTCTTCCTTCCTTTCTTCTTTGTACTCTTGCATATGTGAGCCTCAGTTTCCATATCTGCAAAAAATAAGATATTGGAAATAAGATACCACACAAAACCAACTACCAAAGTGGTTGATGATAACAAAGGTTAGTCCTCAAAATCAATCATGTTCACTCTCACCAACACCAAATCTATTTGCAGCTTTATGTTCCACACGTCTATTGCCAAGGTTATTTTAATTTCTTCTCTGGATTTTGGTAACTATATTTTTAAAATAAACTTTTGTATCTGCCTTTTTCACTTTCATTTTACGTCAACTTTAAAAAATAGTATGTTCCCTGAAAAATTTATATATGTCAGAAGCCTAGCTGGCAAAATCTAAATTTATGGTCTTGACATTAAAAACCTTACATTAATTCACTCCACCTTATCCATATTACCAAATCTTTCTTTATTCACAAATTTATTTATGCCATTTTTTTTTTTTTGAGATGGAGTCTCACTTTGTCACTAGGCTGGAGTGCAGTGGCATGATCTTGGTCACTGCAACCTCCGACTCTCGGGTTCAAGTGATTCTCCTGCCTCAGCCTCCCAAGTAGCTGGGACTACAGGCGCCCACCATACCCAGGAAATTTTTTCTGTATTTTTTGTAGAGATGGGGTTTTACCATGTTGGCCAGGATAGTCTTGATCTCTTGACCTCGTGATCCACCCACCTTGGCCTCCCAAAGTGCTGGGATTACAGGCTTGAGCAACCGCACGTGGTCTATTTATGCCATATTTTAACTAGAATTTAAATTAGCCTGAGATTCTCAAAGTGCAATATAATTTACATTGAAGGTATAAAAGTAAATATTACAACTACTTCAGAAATAAATTTACCAATAACTAGTCAAATTGAAGATTTGAATAGCTACATTTCACCTAAAAAACTCTTAGGACTACACTCACTGGAAATTTTGGCTTCTATGTACAATGATTACGGTACCTGGCTATTCACTGGAGCATTGTGTGATAGAGAAAACATTAAATGCACGCATACTATGACAGGTAGGAATATGCATCACTGTGTAATAAATATAATGCAGTGTTATTTTTGAGAAATGCTTTGGAGCTGTAAGGAAAAATAGTGTAGAAAGAATTATCCACTCTATGAGTCTAGATTTAGGGTTGTTGCAATGAACAGAAAAACTAACACAGTTTGCCAGAATGGATAGGAAGAAGCAGAAACTAGGAAGTAGTATGAAGGCTGAAGAGTTCATTACAGTGACCTAGTGAGTAAATTTTCTGAGCACTAAGGAAAGCACTAGTTATGCAGATGTACCAAGAGTAGTTACGGTACCTTGTATTGCATAAAAAAGTATAATAAATTGCCAATTTTTAGACACCCAAGGATTTTCTTCCCTAACCCTACAACCTGTAATGGCAATAGTGTTACTTCTACTCAATACCCCTGAATTTGAAGGGAGGGTTTTCACTGCAAAAGAGTTTCACCTATCTGGCTTATGCAAATAAACCTGAGAATGCCTGATTTCTAATAGGCATCATGTCTAAAATATTTTCCATAATATTATCTATGGTGATGTTATATGTAGTTGATATCATAACATATGAATGATAATATACACTATGATGATATTTTATACAATAATAATCATTGTTGATCTATGGTGATATGTTATATGTAGTTGATATCATAACATATGAATGATAACATAATATATGCTATGATGATATTTTATACAATAATAATCACTGTTGATCTATGGTGATATGTTATATGTAGTTGATATCATAACATATGAATGATAATATATGCTGATATTTTATACAGTAATAATCACCAAATTTACATATAGTAATAATATCACAAATTATTAACATTTATTAGGTGCTTATTTTGTGCCAGACACTGTTCTATTCTCGTTATTATCAATACACTTAATTATCAAAACAAGCATAACATAAGGGTATTCTGAAAATTACCGTTTTACAGATGAGCTAGGAGAGGTTCAGAGAAGTCGGATAATTTTTCTAGGGTCATATAACAGGTTGGTGGTAGAGTTAACTAGTATTATCAAGTCTGTCTCTAGACCTCAGATTTTAAATACAATTAAAATTAATTTCTACATAATTTTATTCTTAGAGATTATATCTCAGAAGCATATTTTTATGTAATATGCGTTTTATGTCACTTAAGTCTAAAATAATGATATTGGAGTGTGTTTTGAAAACAGAGAATGAAGAGGCAGAGATACAAAGGAACAGCAAATTAATGGAGAAGACAGGAAGGAATGTCATCAGAAGAGTTTAATCCCATCAAGATTCCAAAAGAAGAATTGGATGCCAGTACTCTTTTTGCTTCTAACTTTCTACCCATGTCAAGTTTTTTTTTCTGAGTTAATGACATATACATTTGGTCCTTGAACGACACCAGTTGGAACTGTACGGATCCACTTATATATGGATTTTCTTATGCCTGTCGCTCCCCTAAGATAGCAAGACCAACCATTCCTCTTTCTACTCCTCGTCAGCCTTCTAAACACGAAGATGACAAAGATGAAGACTCTCATTATGATCCACTTCCACTCAATGAATAGTAAACATATTTCCTCATTCTTATGATTTTAATAACGTTTTCTTTAGTTTACTTTTTTGTAAGGATACAGTATATAATACATATAATATGCAAGATAAATGTTAATCAACTGTTTATGTTTATCATAAGGCTTTTCATCAATAGTAAGCTATTAGAAGTTATGCTTTTGAGGAGTCAAAAATTATACATGCATTTTTGACTGTGTTAAGAGGTTGGTGCCCCTAACTCTTGCATTGTTCAAAGGTCAACTGTACTTCAATTTTACAGAATATTTGAGACAGAAGAGAAGACCAGTGTTTGATGTAGTTCTTGAATTTGGAATATTTGATTTTACTACATCTTATTTATATTTTAATTATTTTCAAAGGACTTATGAGTTCAATCATTTATGTTTTTGTTTTACTGCTAGCTTAAATATGAATGGTTTATTCTACCTTGAAAAAGTATGCATTCAAGCCTATTCTGCAACTCCATGTTTTAAAGAAATAGTTTATATGTGGCAGTGGAAATGAGCACCTTTTATCTCGTATCAAAATCCTACCAATATATTGTTCCCAGGTAGTTCAGATGTACCAAAAAGCCTTAGCCAGTTCTCACCTTTCATTGGTAAATGTTTTCTTTGGTTTCGTTCTTGTTTATTTACTTCCTACTGTGAGCATATAAATCTAACAATATAATCTATTTGCTTGTGTTTGTTCATCCCATTAAACTGCCTTTTAAGGGCAAGGAGCAAATAAAACCTGTAAATCTCAAACTACTTACTGCAATGTCAGCAACCTGGGAATGCATGATAAATATGAGTGGATGACAAACAGTCGTGTCGGGAGCCATGAATAAAGACAAGGAGAGTGGGAACCTAGTACCACACGACTCTCAAGCAACTTGCCTTATCCTGAAAAATCTTTTGAGTTAAGGCCAGGAAATCAAGTTTTGTGTTGATTTGCTCTATAGCATTGTCATTTGTACAATGTAGAGGGCATGCTGCTTAGTATTGATTTTACTCTGATGATTGCTTAATAAGCATAGTTATGCCTAAATGACTGATGAGACAAGTGACCCACCAAGGTGGCAGGGAGACAAAGAAATGTATCTACTGGAAAGATGAAATAATTAGAATGAAATATACTGCCCAGGCTTTGCCAGTATTGACTTGCTGAATCAAACTTTAAGTATGTCTTTTCTTAATAGAGAGAAAAAAATGAATTGCATAGGGATATCAACATACCTTTCCTGAATATCTAATTTGTTCTCATATTTGGTTTCAAAATAATTATGCTAATTATTCCTATATGCTAAAATTGATATGGTTTGTCTTATATTGATTGCATGACCATCATTGTATTATTAGAAGTTCTGCTTTATCTGAAAAATAAAAGTTTAGGGATAAAATAGTTTCTGCTTTTAACAACAGAACACTTATGCTTTTGCCCCAAAGTGATATTTAGTCTTTAAGACTTTTTTTATATGATATAAGTGTCACTCACTCTGGTGGCAGCAAAAGTGTTAAGAGTTTCCAATCCCAATAACAAATAATTTTCAGTCATCTAGAGGTTTACTTGTTGGAAACACGTGTAAAAAATTTGTGAAATACCACATTCTTTTGACTGGCAATTTTAATTTGATCTTGTGCCATAATTAAACATTGCTTCCTATATGGGCCCAACCTAAACTTGACAAAGAAATAAGCCCAAATTCAGCATAATTGGTTGATTAAATACATTAAATGGATAGAAAAAAATGATTAAAGAGTGTCCTAAGAAATAGGTTATCGGTAATATTTAGCCCAAAATGGAAGTTTCATATTAGTAGTAGTCTCCACATTTTCTGAATTTCATTTTCAAACTCACTCAACATTCAAGTTGATACTGTTTATCATTTCACTCTATTATGCCTCTAGTCATTTATTAATTTTAACCTGAAGTCTTTTATTTAGCTTATGATACAACTACTGAAATGATTTCCAGGGAAGCTCAATGTTTATTTTGAAAAGGGCATAAGACCAGTTGAAATAAGGCTAACGTTGAAATTTTTCACATATTTTTATTGTCTGGAGTTAAAAAATTAATTGGATTTGACAAAGACCCTTTACTTTGAAGAAAAGCTAAAGAGTGGAGGCACTAATGTTTGCTAAATGTAGTGTCCATTGCTCAGAAAATCAGATGATGTGCCTTGCTAGAAAGTGTCGCTAGCTACACACTAAAAAGAATGTGAAAATCAAAAGGCATATTTAAAAAATTATAATAATATACTGGATGCAAACAGGAGAGACAGTTACTGAACACAAATATAATAACGTGGATCCTGTAACACAGGTCTGTATCCAAAAAAAAACCCTGTACAACATATTTTAAAACTTATGTACACAAAACCAAAGATTATATTTTTTCCCTAATCCAAATGCCGTCCTAGACTTAGAGTCCTGCTCTTTATAAAAATAAAATAAAGAAAAAGAAAAAAATTATAATAGTAACTGGTC